AGTGCCGTAACGTTGGTGAAATAAAACGCAAACAATAAACGCTAACTTTACTAAATTGTATTGTTCGTTCAAAATGGCGCCATATTTTGCCGGTACCTATGTAACGATACTTTTTTTGTAATAGGTCTTCAAACGAGCAGACGGATTACGCCCACATGCAACGGAAGAGTTACGAGTGCGTTGCCGACCTTTTATAGATTAGGGTTTTGGAGATATAGGGATTGAGGAGGGATCAGGGGAGGGAAAGGACTGGGTCTACGGTAACCTCAGTCACACGGCCAAACACAACTCTGTGGTTGTTTCACGCCGGTTTTCTGTGAGGTCGTGATATCACTCCGGTCGAGCCGACTCATTCGTGCCGAAGCATGGCTCTCCCACACAAAATACTGAACTTATTACGTTAAATAATATCCGAGTTACCAGTAAAACAAAAACTTCAGTAAATTGGAGAATTATTATGTAGGGCAACAGTCTTAAATTCGATCAATAGTAGTGTTGTGTGTACCAAATGATTCCCGGAAAATTTAGGTGAATTACTCACGCAGCTCAGTGCTGCTTCAAGATATGATTTAGTCAATTTGTCAATCTCCAAGGCTTCCTTAATAAGAATGAAGTGATGTCAATATGGATTGTAAGGCGACAGAACCCGTCGAGAAATCAAATAGATCTTTGACGAGATTTTCATATACCTATCTACATAATAGGAGTTGCGATTTTTACAGTACAATAGTGGCCTCCTTAATTGCCTAATTTACAAAATCCCAGCGAAACCTAATGTGTGTAAAATAAACTCTTTAATTTTTCGACCTTACCTAATGGAACCATTATTTAATTGTCCACTCGGGCAGGATCTTCCTACTTTAACGATCGTGTGACCTACATAAGTACCGAAACACATAGACACTCTCAAATCTGTTCTTTAAAGACAAGAGCTACAAAACTGACCTACTTTCTTCGGATCCTTTTGTTGGCACTACATAAGGATCCATAAAGGTACTCGTGAAGGAGGAAACATTGCAGCAACTTGTCTCGACCCACATTGATAAGAGATAGCTCGCGACTACAAACAACGCGTACTACACGCATCGAGAATTATTGAGCCCTTTGATAAGTTGCACGTAATTAACTATGTACGGCTCTCAGTACAAGATTAACTGATTTTCAACTTTATAGCTTTTGAATAGAACTGATAATCGATTAGGGGTGTTAACAGGTTCAGGTAGCTACATGTGCAGGCGGGTTTAGCACACATAGTTAAGTGTAACAGTAGAGTAGGGCGTTCAGTAGTTTTTTTTATTTAGAGTGGGAATTAAGATATCTTAAGGCATAAGGTAGAAGATACTGTAATAGATAACCTATGGCACATATAGGATTTACTGCAGTACGCTGCTATTTTCAAATTTCTATGTGTATATTATAGTGATTCAGCCTTATAATTACAAAAAAATACTTTAGTTAATTTAAGTTCTATTTAAAGAAGACGAAAATATATCGAAATATATTTTTCCCCTATACATTGCTCAGTACCATTGGTTCTTTAGGCCGCTTGGGTGCTATGAAATTCAATTTATCTTATATCTAATTTCCTAGTATTTCAGACATTTCAAAGATTCGTCTGAAATAAGTTGCAATCGTTGCGAAAGAGTTTGCGTGATGAATACGAATCAAGTACCATGACTCAGACTTCTCTACCCTTCAGGAAAATCCCTAAATCACATTACCCGAAATAACTCAAACCAGAAATATCGCTCATTCGATACAGGAATTACTTTATCCATTTGACTGCGTAAATTCGTTGAAAGCATAAGAATTGATTAAATTTAGAAAATTAGATACTCATATTCAAGTCAGTGTGGTCGGCCCTTTCATGTTACAGTGACACGATGCCAATGATTTTGATTCAATCTGACATTATCTAACATCTTTCCACCTGATTTGAATTTTAATTGCTGTGAAAGGTTCAAAGGACGGATAGACGTTTATTCACGCGGTTCTTCATATAACAAAGTGTTAAGAAGGCACTTTAAAAAGAAGGTTGTATAGGTGAATCGGTTTTTGAAATCGTTATAATTTGTTCATTTACTTTGTACACGATATATTTGTGGTTTAAGTATTTCACTATCGTATTATTGATTTTAATTATGACACTAATTAATGATTATATAACGTATTCTAATATGTTTATCCATCATGTTTATCAATCGGATAATACTCATTTGACCTATGACAATAATTATTATTATTATCCAAAGACTAACGCTAATCTACTTAAAGACGTAAGTACATATGTATATGTATATACCAGCCGTAAGTACAAAGGGGACGGACACTTATACGACAGGGAATTGTAAACAGACTGTGTCTGTGTGTCGAAGCATTGTGTTCGGAGATCACGCCGGGTCCGTATTCCATCACAATTACGAACTTCCTACATACATTTTTCACGGGAAAATAAACAATTGCTATGTTTCCTTACTCTTTCATCTTCAAATATTTGTCTGATGTATGTATAGGAAGCAGAGGCTCATGATAGTGTCAATGTTTTTCTCAATTTGGGCGAAGAAGTAGTCGTACAGTAAGAGTTATGTTACACGAACAATGTGAAGGTGATTTGCGGATACCGCGCATTTTACTTTGCTTAAGAAACTATGAATAGTGAAATCTTGTGTGCTGTTACATTGCACCTTAGTGTTACCTCTTTATAGGTAAAGTCTAGTCATATTGTATATTATTTACTTATTATATGGTTTAGAAATCTAGGTAAACTTGCGTTTCTAGTGAAGACGGATTTGTTTGTTCGCCTACATTTTTGTAAGATTACAAGCTAAAATACTGTGCATAGTGCAGTTAATTGAAGTCGATCGTCAGCGGTTCAGCGCTGACCCAAATATTTAGTTTTAATATAGTCCCGAGGGGCTTGATGATGAGGGTGCACGGTGATATAAGGCGATAAAACAATAATATGGTGCAATAAACAATATGGTAGTAATACAAAACTCCTAAAATACATATTATTAAACCACCACTACACCAAAATTGAATGAGTTTGGGAATTACACTTTATTCTCTCGCGCATACTGAGATGTTAAATTCACTTTTGGTATATTAATGTTAATGATATCCGATTTAAACTTTAATGCAATTTGCTTACTTTAAAACTTTTTAAGTAGTGAAATTGAGCCTTACATTATATATATTGATGCAAACCTTTTCAATCTATATCTTTAATGTTAGCAGACAAGTTGCTCGAAATCTTACGTTTTTTTTTAAAAAAAAAAACCTTCGCTAGTATTGCACCTGTGTCTTTTACAAACATACAAATGCATATACACAAACCACCCAGACCCGAAACAACACTTTGTGTCACACAAAGTGTTGTTTCGGGACACTTTGTGTCACACAAAGTGTTGTTCCGTGCGGGAATCAAACCCGCGACACGTTGTACAGCAACCAGTTGGCCAGCCATGCCAACCGTGCAGCGCCTCATTAATACAAAATATTATCGTCTGAATTAATTGAAGTGAAAGGATTTTAAAGTTATGTCTTGTATAGTGCTTTCAAAAACGCCTACATCTCGCACGCTCGTGTGATAAGACCCTTAATCGTCAGTTACATTATTTTATTAAGTGTTGTCAAGAAGGGACACAGGCATAAATCTTTATTAGAACTGACTCAACCCGTACTAAAGCTACCTGGGCCTCCTTTTATGGTTAACGCATTAACACAGCTGTTAAAATAATGGCTGTCTTAATATATTTATTGATTCCTTGTACTACAATTATATAATTTCAATAATGACATAATTATTACGCCCATACACAAATTTATAATTCTGGCCTTGTTTTGAACTAAAGAACAACTCAATTTTTGAATTGATTACGTGTATGGATTAGATGCTTGTTAGAATGGCTTATCGTTTGCTTCTCAAGTAGAGACCCGGCGTATAAGGGAGGTTTGCTAACTACATAAGGAAAATATGGCCAGAGTAATAGAACAACTTTCTATAAACAACTTTTTAATTAAGTTTCATTCCTGCTCCGCCCAAAGTTATTAGTACAATAATTTAGTTTGTTTATGTAGAGCTCAGAAAATGGCGCTCTCTATTACAAATTAGATCTGTGGGTCGGGAGAAACTTTTATAAAACATTGATTAAAATTAAACTAGATTTTAATTCTAAATTAAGTATTATGTTTTCGGCTTACTCACGTAATAATTTGACGAATGCTGCTCATGAATATGGGCCTCTAGCAAGGCCTGAAACTAGTCGAGTATCTCGTCAAATTATTACGTGAGTAAGCCGAAAACATAATACTTAAAATGATCACTATCAATTTTTTGGAGAAATAGTGATGTCACTTTTACACAACGCGTAATCTAGTTTCCATAATACAAAAGTCGGGCTAAAAAAGCAATAACTTTTGTCTGATCTCATGCTTAGTCACCTATTGTGGTCGTTAAATCAACGAAGCATTCATTTTTCTGTGCCCATAGGTACTACACCGACTTCAAAAGCAAATCTACTCATTTAAAATCCACCATTACTCGTAATTGTCTTTAACTATAAACGCATTCTATTATTCCACTATCATCATTTAATGCGGTATGGAATTTCCTACTGCAACACTCTACTTAGAAACGTCTCAGGAATTTTGCATTACCAAGTATCGTTTTCACACATGGCTTGGCAGAGACAAATATTTACGAGTGTCAACGCATACATACAATGTGAACGATACATGGTGAGCTCGTACATGAACCTGCTGAGGCAGATCGGCTGCCGCACTCGAGCCCATATTGTTTACATTACTCGCATAGCATGATGATGTCACGAGCGAAACCTAATTCTGATGAATCATGAGCTTTTTACAGGCGATGCACCGATAACCGAGCCGAGTTACCGTGCATGTGTGATATCACGTCGTGTGGCCGACGTAGCCGGACCCACGTGTTTGTGAAGTTATTGATGGCATCAGTGGGCGCATAATAACTGGTCCGACTCAACGAAACGTTCAGTTACTGATTGTCCGTTACGGGGAGCGCGTGTCGCCTGCGATCCCAAGCCGGTGCGCGAGAGCATACACGACACATACATATTTATTGACACTCACGATTTGTTTGGAGATCAAATTTGACAGGAACCAGTGCGTCTTTCGCAGTGTATGTGCTTCCTCATTGGATGAGTTGACCTGATCAGCTGAATAGAAAACCCAACAGTGCAGGTGCATTTGTTTACATATTTACTATTGCTGAATTGTTTTTGCTTTCTTCAAGGAAATATGTGTTGTATTGTATTGCAGCCTACGTTTGTCTCAAGGTGCAAGATGCAAGAATACTAGGTCAAACGTGTCTTGCTGATTTTACGTTTCATTATGGCAATAACACGTACGATGGTGATGTTTAAATCAAATGCTCTTTAAGCGCCTAATTGTACGTGGAGATAATTGTTGTATGTGTAATGATGAAATTATGAACTTAAGAATAAGCGACATAAAATATGTATTAAGCTCGCACAAAAAATATCGAGGTTTCTTTAAGATTTGTATCATGTATTAATTATTTCATGTTATTTTATTTATATAGTCAGAGACAAAATTATCCCGACAAAATTAGTCCTTTCTCCGGCCTATTTAAGTGCGTACAATGTAAGTTTATACTGTACACCATGAGCCTATACTGAACATTGTTTAGCTAAATGAAATTACGTTGATCAGCAACGAAAATTGCACTCAGCCCTATCGATGTACGCGCTATATTACGTTCATACAAATAGTGTTATTTTAATTAGTTGGCTAATGTTTCGTATTTCATAGAGCCGTTGCACATTTGAAAGTTATGTTTACTTTTTAAATATGCGGCACAAACAAACATTCCATTCCTAATTACACAATAGTTTGTATGTGCATTTCAGTGTTGGCACCGTTTGAAGTCTGCAAGCTGTCATAAAATTATAATTATCATCATCATCAGATTGTATGCTCCATGTGAATAGGAACTTCTTTCTGTAAAGATGCTTGCCATAATCTCTAAGATTTACAGGCATATGGGGGATTACACAATGTTCAGAGGATGGTTCTCTCTACGTCTGGTTTAAAATCACTATAATATATTATAATTTCGAGTCAAAATATAATAATAAAAGTACAGAAGTAAATGTCACAAGATACATAATTTATGTCAGCTGTTTGTTGTCAAACGTTTCAAGGTTTGTTTACATATTTAGAAAAATGTGACGTCATTTAGAGCGGTAATTCCCATTATAATTATAAATCAATCTAATTAAAAGGTAACTTTATCAACGTTGCTAGACGTTCGCAGAGTTACTGAACGTTAGTAAGTACCTACGTGATCAATATTGTAAACATCGTTAGCGTTTGGTTAACGTCCTCGACTACCTACAGAGCACAGGTTAACAGCTTTGCACACATATTTAGAAACACGACTTTATACAAACAGGTGATACCTATTCTTAGAATCTATGTTACATACTATTATGCTCGCATCTAAACGTTATCAATAGGCACTGCATTCATATTTAAATATTCTTGTTCTTGAGAATCAGAAACTGCTTGTTATGGTAATGTTTAATTAATAATAATATTAAAGATCTACGCAACAAAAAAATGTGACACAAAACATTCAAGTATAATAAGTAGTACCCGCTTTGCAAAAATATTATGACGTATAAGTATATCATATCGCGGCTTATCAAAAATTCATTGAAAAGAATGTTGTTTTATCTCATTTTTGTAACATGATGTAATCAATGGGAAGTGCTCATACACTTCCTTAATTTAAATTTTATTCGTCGTCTTTAATATTATTGTTATAGATTGAAGTTTTAAACAACATCATTGGCTGAACAAACGTCGTAAAGTCCCATATGGAGCGTACAGCGTACAGTAAGCATCAAAAACGTAATATTGACATTGATTCCTATATTAGCATAATTTATAACGTGTCCTGAGAAACCGGAGTTCTATTTATATCGTTTTAAGTTTAGCGCTCAATTGCAACAACAAGCGGGTCGGGTGCAGGACTCAGGGTGATGTAGTACTCGCTGAACTGAAGGAAGTGTGTCGTTAGCCGATTGTAGTGGCAGGACCCACTCTGCTCTATTGATTAATTCAAATGATTTTATTGCATAATGGCCATTTCGAGTGAATTGGTTGACTAGGCGTTCAGATCATCGTACTTTGTTTTGTTATGTAGCTACGTGTATACTCTTTTGTTTGTTTTCAAACTCCTATCGTGACCCTTATTCTGAAGTTAGGACCGGTCGTATATTTCTACAGCCGTGCAAACAATATAATACTTATTGCCCTGTTGTATAAGTTTCGATAAATTCATATCGCATTTTATGAGTACCGCAACAGAACAGCGTTCGTAATCCATTGCCACAAATCATGTTTTATTAGAAATTTCCAGAAGGTCTAGTCACAGGGCCTGTCAGGCCGTAACCCCTGCACATTGACCCTACTCACGGAAGATGTTAATCATGAGCTCCGCTTCAGGATGTAACGTAATACAACTAACTCTCTACGACTAGTACTATGATGGCACTGATCATACTTTATTCACATCGCATTATTTATTTAAGGATGGCGCGCATAATTAGTCAAGAAAACCAGTAATTCACTGACCATTTGTTCAACATTATTCATGGTCTCGCAAGATATAATTAATTGGGATTAAATCATTCTGACATATTGTTTATTAATTAAACTACATTCACAGTGCTATTATTATTATATTTATCATTTTTATTTTAGTTTGTTGCATGTATAATTCTGTTTAACTCTATTTAAAATAAATTGATCTATAAGTATCTGCACTAGTACACATAAACATACAATTAAAAAGGGTATCTTATTTGATGGGCTCAAAGATCATGGTTAAGTGATTCAAGTAGTTAACGCGATCAACTCCAATCGTAGGGTAGCGGAGCTTGAGTAGCAAATGTAAACTAAATTGTTTTTCTTCAATTGCACTTAATAATTTTAATCAAAAGTAGTAGTTATAGATGGAGCTGAATTCCTGATGATAAATAATCTCGTAATGGACAATATGACAAGGTCAAATGCGTGTAATATGTACCTAGGTAGTGTACCCACGCTGCAGTTGCGCCTGCGTTTATTGCACAGTGCACTATATTAATTGTTATGCCGCCGCTGGCGTTGGAGCGAACATATGTAGGTAGTTATGGCTGTGCGCAATATCCAGCCCTGCCTCGTTGACCCAGTGTCGCGGAGCACACAGGCCAAGTTCAAACACGACTCGTGATTGAGAACCACCCGATTCTTGTCTATGCAATGTTGCAACTAACGTGAAAGCCACTAAGACTCTTAAGTGGAAAGATAAGAAAAATACGCCACGATTTGAATTAGAAGTCAATAAAATTGTTATCTTAATTTAAAATGTAGCCAGTCGTTTCTCTTCTGATCGTGTTAACGAATGTAAACCCAATATAAGAATTGGTTCTTAAAACTATAAAGGTCAAATGATAATGTTGTTAATGTTAATATTTTACTAGACCTGTTTTAGGAATGATTGGATAGTGTAGGGAATGTGAATAGTGTGCGGCGAGCGCAAGCGTAGGTCGCGGCGACCGCAAGTGAGCTGTAAGCTCGCGTTACACTGCGTCGGAATGGAAACAATGAGCCCATCTATTGAGTGCAGGTGACAAAAGCGGTTATGAGCTAGCTTCATAGCTTCTCAACACTACAAATACCTAATATTATACACGCACCTCACAACCCACAACAATATGCGACACAAGTGCTTTAGTAAGGACAGCATAAGATTAATGGCAGAAGAAACACAGGAAGAGTTACGTAATGTGAAAGATTGCGACTCAGTGAAAGCCAAGGCGAATGTGAAAATGATTGAAGGTTTGTAGACAGATAAAGCCAATCCCGGTTTTAATAAAAAACTTTTATTAAAATATAATCTAATCGTAGTTAAAACATCGGTTACCCATTTAAATCACGCAAAATGATTAAAATATAATTCGTATGCGATTGCGTCATAATTTAAAATTTACAGACACCGACTAAAGAGTGCCCATTAGTCTATTACGTGATGCTAACTGGGACATGCGCCATTTCAGCAAATTATAATTGCGAATGCGAGTAAATGCCGTCGTCACATTTCACCGATGTTCGTACAACTGCACTGCTCGTGTACCGCGTGTCATTTTCGTAGTTAGATGAATATTTTTATAGCTTTCGGATTTCTATTATGTGAGCCACTTTCCCACGATAGCGTTTCCCTTGAGGGCGCGGGTCATCTCTAGCGTTTATCAGTTGAGACCGACAATTGTCCCCGCCCACGTAAGCCGACGATTTATATGAAGTCCTGGACGTGAGGCGCCAGTAAATGCACGCTAGACATTTCATATTTTCCGATTTCTTATTCCTTTATTAACCTTAAACCCGGTCAAAGCCAGTGAGTTTCTCAGAATGATTTGGTTTTTCAATACGTCAAAATTTCTCGTTGACCAATGCCCCATTAGATAGACTTTTGTCCAAAATATTTACAAAGCTAGACAAGAGAAGAACTTACGAGGTGAGTCCAGCTCAGTCTAATAACATCTTAAAAGTCCGGTAGGGCCAAACGTGTTACAGTGTATTGATCATAAACACAGCAGCATGTATGCTGTTCGAATGGTGATAAGTATTCAATTTATAATATTGTGATATGGTCGTACGAAGTGTACGCCTGCCGCGGCCGGTGGTTGGCGCCTCGTCGCGGTAACGGTAATACAAGATGCCTAGCTTAAGCTCACTCCAGACCGTCTCTGACACTTCCCTTATATTCAGATCATCTGATAGTAACGATACTACTCATATTTACCGGGTGGTCTACTCACTGGACAGATTAAAAACACATTACTGCAAGATATGAAGAATTATAGACAAATAAGTCGACGAGATGGATTTATAAGCTTTATGCTGTTGAGTAGCGTGAGATCATATGAGATTTATTTCAATTTAAAAGCGCTAAGAAATATGTAGCGGCACTATCACGTCGCTACATTACTTAGATACGATAGAGATAAGACATACATGTTAATTGTTGCACGTTTGTTAGGATAGCTAAATCTGAAAATCTCACGCATCTTCTTAGTATATAAGCACCAGCAATTAAAGTAATAAACAGACCTTAACCATCTACAGTCTCATTATTTACCTTGCCACGAAGTCTGGCAAAAAATACACGA